ACTATGTCTTCTCTGCCAGGCCATTCCTTGACAACACTGGTCGTCTGCCCTCTTGGAGGCCTAACCGCTGTCTAGGGGAAGGATCACGGAGACACTGTCGGGTGGCCCCACGTCCCAAACTGCCGTATCGCCAAAGCGGAACTTAAATGAGAAAATGTTCCGAAAATTACCTTGTTCGGTGGCGCTAGACAGTCAATGATTCGTAGCACAAGTTGCCTGTTTCCTTGAACATCATTTGGGAGTGACACCGTTCCAGCATCGATTAACATCGCATGAATTTGCGGTGGGATCAATGGTTCTGGCAGTTCACGGAGAAAATCCTGGAATTTCCCATACTTTTTCGTGTCCTTTCAAACAAATAAATGACGTAGTGAGTGATCCCTCGAGACCAACCTTTATCAGGCACGCCAGAACATTCGTATCAGGCACACTGTCCGTAGTCAATTCACAACCTAAAGGATTGGCTTCCAGTTCGTCTCGGAGTACACGCTTCTTCTCGACTGATCCACATACTGTAAATGAAAAGCGGTTAACTATCAGGTGCAAATCATCCAAGTAGCAAAAAGTTACAAGATGGTAAAGGACGAAGAATGTAGCTTTTGGGGTTGATGAATCATTTGAGTTGGGATTTATCGAGCACTTTATTCTCATTCTGAATAACAGAGGCATTTCAAGTGCGATATGGCCTATATAGAGACTTGCGTAGTCAGACGATGTGGAAGTTCGCGTTTTCAACTATACTCACCCTTCCCCAATCTCCCCTCCCCCCACCCCTTCCAGACCAATTTGGCACCAGTTAAACGACATCGGATGGGTACGGCGACTGGGGTGCGAGTTTGTTTCGGGAACTGACCCTCATGAGTACCCTCAATATTGAGCGGTGACATCCTCTCGTCCCTAATTTTAAACAAAGCTTCTTATACAGAAGTGGGACCAGCAATGCCAGTATTTCTGAGCAATGAAATAAAAATCCAAAATAGTAGCTGTAATCCAAGAGCAAGAAAACTCACAAACGTATAGACCATTACAATCCACGCCCCTCCTCTCGATCTCTTGAATGAGTCGGGTTAGAGCGATGGGTGTGTCTCGTCGCTCACGGGACAGCAGCCGGCCAAGCGGTACACCCAAAAACTCTGAAATTTTTCACAAGAATGTATGCCTGTCAAATACGGCCTCTTTACTGCTAGTGAAAACGAAAATATCACTGAATTTTCATGAAAGCCTAGTTACGTGAAGTTGTTAGAAAAAGTCCAATACTGAATGAGACGCATAAAAGTTAGGTAATCGTGGTCCATGGTTCAGTTTCTTTAGAGTGGAAGCTAGAGGAAAAAAGGATATTGGGTCTATCCCCGCCTGCCTCCTGCTCACATACACAAGTCTTATAATTGACAGAGCAATTGGTCTAGGGAAAAATGGTCAAAGTCTACATAACAGGGTACATCACCTGTTGTGTAAACATAGGGGGGTCGTACTTTGCCGCTGGGGTAGGGGGAATCGTATTTGGTCGTTGGGAGAGAGAGAGGTCGATTATGCGTTCGACAGAAATTTGCTGTATTGAAGAAAAAAATTTTTTTCCGGTTGTTGATTTTTGCGTAAGCGTCAACGAGAACGCGGAGTTTGGCCAAAGCACACAGTAGACACTTGTGTCTACAGGAAGGGGGGAGGGCAAAAGTCACTTTGCCTCCTTTGACTTTCGAGGCGGCTATAAGTTACACTTATCACCCCAATTCGTGATGACATTTTTACCCACCATATTGAAGAGCATAACTAAGGCACTTCATGACCCGCGCCACAGCCTTCTGGACGAGCGCCATCGAGAGATTCTGGCACGCGACCGCGATGTGGTACCTGAGATCAGCGAGGTAGTCGATTTCTCCGCCACCGTAGACCACCCTATTGAACTCCGCCCGAACTAGGTAATTGAGTGGATTCAGGTCAGGGTACATACTTCAATATTACATCTTCTTCAGATAGCAAAACGCTTCCATCTCGAACATGACACACACCCCCGCGAGAGTTTCCAACCCTTCCATTCCATGTGGTTTCCCCCAACCTGTAGCAGCTAAAGTCTCCAGAAGGTGCGGCCGACGAGCATGTAGGGAGGACATTCTTCTCGAGTTGCTTGATGTAACCGCCAGCGCTCACCTTCAGTCCGGGTCTACAAAGAAAATATCGGTCTTCCCATTCCAGGTACCCCGGTCCATACCATCAACTCGCGCCTCGGCGACTACGGTGAAGATGATGTCCTAGACCGTAGCGACGTTGACGGAGCTGCTCGATGATGGAGGTCTTCCAGATCGAGAGTACTGGTCTCCAGGTAGCTATCCATGGGTGACTCACAGCTATGAGTTTCGGCAGGCTGTTTGAGACGAGGTGACATGAATTCCAAAGGTCTTCTCCAGTCAGGCTGCGACTGGAGATGACCTCATATTTTGGTGTACATGAAGGTGATGGGCAAGAGCCAGCTCCTGCTTATCGAGGAACATCTTGGGTATCTACCGCCCTGGTACTCGTATACACATCCTCTGTCTGGGGTGCGAAAACTTTGCTGATATGTGACTTGGTCAAAGTGACTTTTTCGGCCCCC